CTAATCAACCTCCCCACAGTACCTAAACTGTTGTCCCTAGTCATGAAGTTTGAACCGGCGGATGGGTCCCTTATCGGAGGTTCCCCTGCAACATACCTAACCGAGCCATTGCATTTGGAAATGGGACAGCATTGGGAAATCATCCACTTTGTGGTGATCTCTAAGATGAAAGAGGTTGTGATTCTAGGCTTCACATGGCTTGATAAGTGGCGACCAAACATTTGGTGGGAGAATGGTGGGAGAACTCTGAGACTGGCGACAGGACTCCTCCCGCCCACCGAGCTCAGTGAAATAAAGGGGGCTGCAGCAGTAGGAAGCCGGGGAAACCCTTCGAGACATTAAAGGCCACTGTAGAATGAATACCAGGGATCCAACTTGTTCCCAGCGAATATCATGATTTGGCAGGAGTCTTTAGCAAAAAGGAATGTGCCACACTTCCTCCTCACCAAACCACCGACTGCACAATTGAAATTCTACCAGATGCCAAACTCCCAAAGCCAAAAATGTATTCTATGATGCCTAGAGAGATGGAGAAACTGAGAGAATACATTGACAAGAATCTGGCCAGAGGCTTTATCCAGCCTGCAAAATCACGCATGGCTGCTCCAGTGCTATTCAAAGAAAAAATGGATCTTTGAGGCTCTTTGTGGATTTTAAAGGGTTAAATATTGTCAGCATAGAAAACATGCACTTTCCTCCCTCTTATGAAAGACATACTAGCCCACCTGGCAAAAACAAAAATCTTCACTGGACTTAAGGGAAGCTTATTACTGGGTGCAAATTAGAGAGGGGGATAAAATGGAAGACAGCCTTCAATTGTCCTCTGGAGAGTTTTCAGTTCAAAGTAATGGACTCCAAGGAGTCCCTGCCATGTTTATGCAGCTGATAAACCATGATCATCTGTTCAAGGGGGGTTTGGTTTACCTTGACAATATCCTCATCTACACTGAGACCATGGAGGAACATGTCAAGTTAGTGCTTAAGAAGTTGTTGAAGGCTAGCTTCCATGCCAAGCTTAGACATACCTTGACTACCTAGGTTACCGAATCTCTAGTGAGGGACCCTGGCAAAGTCAAAGCAGTGCTAGAATGGCAGCCTCCGCAAACCTGTAGGCAACTTCAAAGTTTTGGGGGGTTCGCTAATTTCTATTGTCGGTTCATCCCTTCGCGAAAATCACTATGCCAATGACTGAACTGTTAAAAATGTCTTGTCAACATTTGCAATGGACTATGGAATGCCAGACAGCTTTTGAGCAATTCAACTATTTGCAGCAGAACCAGTTCTTAAATACCCTGATCCAACAAACCTTTCGTCATTCAGGCCGATGCAAGTGATGTTGCTGTGGGTGCTGTTCTCCTACAGAAAAATAATAGGTGAAACCTATAACTTTGCGTCTACACCTCAAGAAAGCTATCAGATACAGAGAGACAATGGGCTGTTTGGGAGAAGGTGGCTTTTGCAGTGAAATGGGCTTTGCTAACTTGGCGTCATTTCCTGGAAGGGAGTAAAGTGCTTTTTGAAGTATGGACTGATCATAAAAACTTAGAGGCACTAAAAACCCCTAGAAAATTGTCCCCTAAACAAGCTAGGTGGCCACAGTACTTCAATCATTTTAATTTGACCCTCAGATACCTCCCTGTGGGAAAAAACATCCTGGCAGATGCTTTGTCTAGAATGCTCCAATATAAACTCCATCAGGAGGAAGTTATTAATTCCATCATTCCTCTACCACAGTCAACCTCTCAAGTAACCATGAAAGGTCAAATGCAGAGGAAATCTGAGAAGCCCGATAGTCTATTAATAGAAAAACTCAAAGAGGAACTCAAAACAGACCCCTGGTTCAAAGACAATAGATCACTATTGACCTATCAAGACGGACTAGCCTGGAAGGGTTCAAAACTATACCTTCCAGTATCCCTCAGAGTTCCAGCCCTTCAATGTAATCATGATGCAAAACAAGCCAGTCATTTTGGTTTTCTAAAAACTACATTTGATGTGGCAGCAGTTTTGGTGGCCAGGCATGAAAAAAGACATTGAAAGTTAGGTACAAAGCTGTGCTACCTGCGCAGCTATGAAAAAAGCACCCTGGAAAACCTCCTGTCATTGATCTTTTTTTGAAGCAAGCTCATTTCATTGCTTCTTCAGGACTCCCATCTGTCCCAAAACTAGCCAGGTTATTTTTAAAACACATCTATTGACTCCATGGAGCACCAAAAAGGATTATATCAGATAGGGGGATTCATTTTACTGCAAATGTTTGGAGGGAATTTGTAAAACTGATTGGATATATCATCTGTACAAATGGATTGGCTGAATGTACAAACGCAATGGTGGAACAATATCTCAGATGCTATGTAAATTACCAACAGACTAACTGGGTGGACCTCCTGCCTTTCAACAAAATAGCGTACAACAACACTGTACAAAGTAGCACTGGACTTACTATGTTTAAAGTAGCTACTGATTGGGAGTTTGTCCCTATGCCCAAATATCCCCAAGAACCTCCTACTTCGCAGACCCTAGATCAATGGGTGATCTCATTACAAACTATTTGGGCAAACGTAAAGAAAGCTTTAGCCCAAGCAGCTAAGACATACAAGCAACAAGCCGATAAGAAGCAGTCTTCCCAGAGGCCACTCCATGTGGGGGAGAAGGTTTGCCTCTCCACTAAATATCTAAGTTTGAAACTGCCTAGCAAAAAATTGGGACCTAAGTTTCTCAGTCCTTTTCCCATAATCAGAATTTTAAATCCTGTCACAATTCAGTTAAAACTGCCATGGCTATTAGGGAAAGTTCACCCTGTTTTCTATTGCATTCTGTTAAAACCAGTCACAGGATTGTCCTTACGGCCGATTCTTAAAAAGGTGCCTGGTCCCATTTTAGTAGAGGGAGAAACTCATTATGAGATAAAACATATCTTGGATTCTAGATTGTATAAGAGTAAATTACAATATTTAGTTCAGTGGAAGAGTTACCCCTTGTCAGAAGCCACCTGGGTGAAATGTACAGATGTGAAAGCAGATAGACAATACAGAGATTTTATGATAAATATCCTCAGAAACCCAGGGGGGATTCCTAACTTGTATTTTTGTTTCCTCTACAGGATTTGCTCTCTTCTTAGGGGGGCCGACTATCAACTCTACAACAAGCCTGGCTGCAACCATCTTGCTCAATCTAGGTTGCAGCAAAGATGGGAGGGGTGAGAAATTTAACTTTGTAATAGCATGACTCTTTGAAGGGAATTTCAGACTTGGTTTCACTTTTGACCATGCTGATATGTAACCAATTAACATGTTCTTTGAGGAAGTTTTTAGCCTCGGAGTTCTGATTCGTTTGATCTCATCTATTGGAACCTTCACACACACACATACACACACAGCCTCTAATTATACTAAAAATACGAATCCCGGGTACATTCATGTAAAGAAAAATAGTTAAACACCAGGATAAATCTAAAACAGCTGTTTAATAAACTTAGCTTTCATTGGCTAACTGCTGACATCATCAGAGTGGAATGCCGGAGATTTGAAAGCCTGCTTATAAGACCAGCTGCTTCTGCGCTCTGCTCATGAAGCGTGTAACTGGTTTACCCGGATAAGTGCTCACCGACAGCCATGCTCATCTATACTGTGTCTGCAGGCGTAATGGCTACCCTGTTGATTTCATCAGACAGTACAGCAGATCACATCAGCCTCGCAGAGCGCAACACACAGGCACTCCTATAGCATGGACAACACTACCATATGTCAATGGAGTGTCAGAGGCAATGGCATGGATATTGAATCCATATAATATCTGTATTGCCCACAAACTGAATCAAACCCTATATGCAAAATAATGCACCCCAAGGAACCACTCCCCAATGAAGAAAGATCTTCGGTGATATATAGAGTGAAATGCAAGGACTGTCACTGCAATTACATTGGGGAGACGACCAAACATCTTAGAACTAGGATTCATGAACATGAACTGGCCATTAGATGGCATGAGCAGTGCTCTAAGGTGTGGGCCCATATGGCCTGCAACAATCATGTGTTTGATCTTGCTGGGGCGGAGGCCATTGCCTAGGATATCACCAAGGGCAGTTGGTTACTGAAGGAGGCTTGGCTATTGGATGAGCACTCAATTAATCACCACATAGAGTTAATGCCTGCCTATCAGGCATTAAGGAAGTGGGAACAACGGCGCAACAACTCACAACGAGTGCAATGGGTGCAACCTACACAAGATCAGAACTGCGGGCTCATACAACAGCAAAGAACTATGACTGGCAAAGGGGAGCAATCCCCAACATGGTCCCGTGCAGGAACCAATGACGGGGGATGGGGCGCCATACATATATCAAGGGGTATGGCCATAGGACAGGAGGCACTGGGAGACCATCCTACAGCAACGTGTAGCCAGACATGACTAAAGTGAGCAAAGAGAGCGTCGACAAGAGAGGCGATGACCCCTGTATTTACAAATACACAGACGGATGCGAGACAATTAGAAGCAATACGACCAACTGGGGCGGGTAGACCGGTTATGCGCTCCATGAGCAGAGCGCAGAAGCAGCTGGTCTTATAAGCAGGCTTTTGAACCTCTAGCATTGCACTCTGATGATGTCGGCAGTTAGCCGACGAAAGCTAAGTTTATTAAACAGTTGTTTTATATTATCATGGTGTTTGACTATTATATATATATATATATATATATATATATATATATATATATATATAAATATATATATATATATATATGTATGTATGTATGTATGTATATAAAAACATGCGTATTCAAATGCAACGTGTCAAAATTTCAAAGCAATCGGTGAAGAACTTTCAGAGATCTATGATTTTGAACAAATGAACGTTTACATTTTTATTTATATAGAAGATATAGATACGTATATACGTACATATGTATGTATGTACACACACACACACACACACGGATATCGTATTTTATACACAAGCTGTATTTTATAGATAACAGAAGAGTTTTATCTGTCAACTTACATTCCAGTCTAGTGATGTTACATCCTTATTGCTGGGAACATCATGCCCTCCTTCTCTTATACAGTGCCTCAAAACTAGTTGTGTGGAACTACCATTGCTGTTTTCATTAAGATTCCATATTCTGGCAGTGGAATCACCAGATCTAAAAAGAATGAATACACATATTACTCACAAAGAAAAGCTTGGGGTTCTGTTGGCTCAAAATATTGTTTTGAAACAATATTATTATATATTAGTAGGAAATCCATTTCTTCGTATGAGCACATGTCTTCCTTCCGAGAATGAAGATTATCTGCCAAATTCTATTTACTGTTGTTGGAAGAGTTGATATTGCTGGGCAAGAATGAAAAGTGTCAAAAAGTTCACATTTGTTTTAATGCTAATTTACCCTGATGCTAGTAGATCATTGACAGGATTCCAGGCACAGATGAACACCTCTGATTCATGACCCCGAAGAACTGTTGCTTTGTTAGAAGGAATTTCAACATCCCCATCGATTTCCATTGGTTTTGAGTAATTATCTGCAAAACATGCATAAATCTATGTAAACTAACACTAAGTACAATGAAAATAGGAACAACGAAAATAAAACAACAGTAACAAAACTAATAGGAAAATTAGATTAATCATAAAATATCGATTGGAAATGTTAATTTTTTCCAAGAGGACAAAACCATTATTGACTGATATCAAGGCAGTTTAAACCCGCTTTCTATTCCCAGCATATGAGGACCAACGAAAATTATAATGCTTAAACATGTCAATACAATTTAAAATTTCAGAATGCTTATTTGTAATCTCCATGTAGTAACCTGAACATGAAAGACAATAGTGAAAAGGCATCAAGTAACACGTAAGGCTAAAATGAGGGCAATGTGTCTGTGGCTTTTGGTCTTGGAGCATAAAAATCTAGAGTTCAAAAATATCTATACATATATCTAGCTTTGTCACATAAATTTGCATTTGATCTAAACATACTCATTAGAAAACATAGTTTAATTTACTTATTGCATGCGCCCCATTCTCCTCTCCATTCACAGTGGCTTCTCCAGTCTTTGGTGTATTTTGCTGTGAGACAGCAATAGTTGTTGCTGTGGCTGTTGTAGTAGTTGTGGCTGCTGTTCCTGTTGCTATTGTAGCTACAGCTGTTGCTGCACTAGCTTGCTGCTGTGCTAATTTCTCCCTGAAAGCCTGCTGCCGAGTTTGCACTACATCAGGCATTACTGCATCTATCAAAGATAATGATTCTATAGGTCTGCCATCAAACACTGTACCATCCTAGGAATGGAAAGAAGAAAAAAAGAATTAAACTAAAATTTTCCTGAAAAATAAGATGAAATACTAGCTAAGCAGAATACGATTACCATGTAATCTGAAATTAGTCTTCAGTTGAATCTATAGAATTTTTATTACAAACTTGCTAGACTACTATGCAACCACAAAAAAATTGAATGATTAATCATAAAATAAAGTACAGAAGTCACACACTAAGAACAAGAAAAAATATTTTGACTTATCCTCAGAAGACATTGCTCAGAGTATCACATAAAATTATACTTAACAAAAGTAAGGCTTCATTTGAAACCTTTTGATCTGGAATCTTGATTTACAAAGGCTGGATTTGGGGAGATTCAGAAAAGTCATTTTATTGCTTTTTTTCTCATGAAGGTTAAATAAGAACATAATAAAATTCCTTTTTAGATCAGCAAAAGTATTTCTAGTCCAACATTGGATGAATCACATAGCTATATAGTCTATAATGAGTCTTTTCAACCTTTTTACCAATTGCACCACTTTTAGGGTACGGCAATATTTGAGTACCACCAGCTGCCTAGCAAAGTGTCAAAAACTTGCTGGCAAAAAAAGGAAAAAAGTGATAAAGTACAGGTAGTCCTTGATTTACAACAGTTCGCTTAGTGACTATTCAAAGTTACAATGGCACTGAAAAAAGTGACTTATGACCATTTTTCACACTTATGATCATTGCAACATCCTCAGGGTCATGTGATTTACATTTGGATGCTTGGCAATTGATTCATATTTATGATGGTCACAGTGTCTCAGGGTCATGTGATCTTTAAAACCTTTTGACAAACTAAGTCAATGGTCCACTGGAGGAGCCTCGCCATCCCTCTTGGGCCGTTCTGGGGACTCCAGGATGATGGTGCGGGCTGCTTTGAGTCCTGGGCAGTGGAGGGCAAGTGCCCAGCCCAACTCTCAAGCTCCTAGGGCACCAGGACCCCACAGCCCAACGGAATCCAGCCCAACTTCCCCGAGGGGGTGCCCAGCTGCGTTTATCTCCTCCTCAAGGCTGCTGCTACTGTGCTTGCTCTCCTTGGCCAAGTTGCTCATGGTGGGTATAGGAGGTAAAAGTGTGTGAGTCAGAGGGAGGCCCACTCCCTCTCCATGCGAGGAAACCTAGCTTTGTAACCAAAGCATCCTTAGCGACAGGATGAGAGACCACCAGGATAGGCCAGGAGGAGGGGGCAAGGGGATGGCAAAAGAGCAGCAGGGCTGCTTATGGCCAAGTGCTAAGACAGGACTTCCTTCAGACCCTCCCTCCCTCTCATTCCAATCTCCCTCCTTTCTTCCTTTCCTTCCTTTCCTTCGTTCCTTTTTCCCTCCCTCCCTCCCTGCTTCTCATTCCCACCTCTTTCCTTCCCTTCCTTCCTGTTTCCCTCCCTCCCTGCCTCCTCCTTTCTCATTCTTATCTCCTTCCTTCCTGTTTCCCTCCTTTCCTGCCTCCCTCTTTCTCATTCCCATCTTCTTCCTTCCTGTTTCCCTCCCCTCCTCCTCCCCTCCCTCCCTCCTTTCTCATTCCCATCTCCTTCCTTCCTTTCCTTCCGGTATCCCTCCCTCCATCCTTCCCTGCCTCCCTCTTTCTCATTCCCATTTTCTTCCTTCCTGTTTCCCTGCCTTCTTCCTTCTCATTTCCATCTCCTTCCTTCCTCCTTCTGTGCCCAGGAAGGGACAAGGGGAGGGGGAGAGGTTGCCAGCACGGCCGGTGGTCATGCTGCCGGTGGCCATGGCTTGAAAGGTCTCTGTAAATTCCTGGACAAGAGCCACACAGCCTTGTGGTGGGAAGATATTTGTGATGAGGGAGGGAGAAAAACAGACAAGAAATGCAGCTGGGGAGGTGTCACCCTCCTCAAGGAATGAAGAAAGGCACCATCCCCTGGGGCTGGGCAAGCCAAAGCTGGCCAGAAGCCGAACCTGCCTAGATGAGCACATAGGAATACTGAGTGCAAAGGGCCTGGTGTCCCGGGTGAAAGGGAAGCATTCAGAATGCAGTCAGTCTGTGGGGCAGGACGGTTACCTGGGATGCGTGCTTACTGCCTCTTGTGCATGTGCCCAGGCAGGTTTGGCTTCTTGCCAGCTTCACCTCGCCCAGCTCAGCCTCTCTGAGCTATGAGGAGAGCATGCTGCTACCTGCCAAAACTGGGCAGACTGGGCGCATCACACAGGTAATGTGGACTCTCACCCTGCTTACAATACAACCTCCTCTGGAGCCCACAGAGCCAGCTGTGTGAAGTGGGCGAAGGCCAATTGCTTGCCACCTCCAGCCTATAGTGCCTTTCTTCATTCTTCGTGGAGGGCAACACTTCCCTAGCTGCGTTTCTTGCCTGTTTTTCACTGCCAACTGTTTGTGCGCCCGGCATGGATGGCTGCCACAAAGTTGTAGATCAGCTCCCAGCTGGTCTGTTTTATCACCTCTCTTCTCTCCCCCCTCCTTCTTTTCTCCTCAGTGCAAGTCCATCTGACTACTCCTCCCAGGGCTGCATCTTTTTCTCTCCCTCTCTTGCCAAAATTGCCTCCTTTTATATCCTCTCCTGTCTCTGCCCTCCTCCTCCTTACTCTTCCAGGTGTGTTGGAAGTGCTGATCGTTTGTCTCGCCCCAGCAGCCCTGCAGCTCCTGATGACTCTCTCATGGTAAGTCCTGTGCTGCGCTGCTTTAGCTTGTTCCCTCCCCCCTGCTACACTTGTCTAGGCTAGGCAGGGTCATGTACCACCTGCCAAGTGCCTGCGTACCACCAGTTGAAAAGCCCTGGTCTATAATAGCACAATGTACCTCTCTTCTAATTTTTAAGAGCAATTTAGAATTAAAAATGATATGTAGAATATGACCAGGATAAGCCCAAGGGTGGGGTCAAATGCATCATCAGTTTGAAGTCTCTACACCTCCATAAAAGATCTAAGTGTAGCCCCTCCTTGAAATTCGTTGACTCTTATCTAGCACAAAAAAGCCTTGAACAATGAATAGCAGATCAGATTCTTGTGTATAAACTTGTAGAACTTTTGAGCCCTGTTCATATTTTAGTCTACTTGGGGGATGAATGAACTCCATACCTTGTGTCAGAATCCAATTATACTTCATCTCCAGTTATCAATTATAGAAAACCCCATTTCTGCCCTCTCTGGATTCTGTCATAAAGAAAGAGAAGGGGGTGAACAAAGGGGCTTTATGGCCCTCACTTCCTTCGGTACAACTTCAAAGGGATTGAATGTGGATAGCACCAAAAGGCCTTATCATAACAAAGGAGGCTATTTACCTTTCATGTAGTTTTCTCTGAAGTCTCCATCCAGCCGGTAGAAAGGAAAAAGGGGTGGGATTGTGATGCCTGAAACTGTCACTGGAAGAGGGGGGTGATTGGGTGGGACTACTGGGGAACCCCTTAAAACCTTGAATGGGAGAGCTTGGACCCCAAGTCCTGTCTAGCATGCCTGCAACCATTTTCTCTTCATAAAGGATTCCTGTTGGAAGAATTATTCCAAGAGTTCTGTCTTCTTAAGATGCAAAGTGGGGTGGGTCCTTACATTAGACAGGACTTGCAAAATTAATCCACCTGGAAGGGAGACCCTTGCCGGGGGATTTTGCAAAAAATCACCATGTCAGACAATGGAGCAAGAAAGGGGGAAAACTCCCTGGGAAGAGAGCCGCTGACCAAATTGGAACCTTGCCAGATGTTGGGATCTGAGAGGTCAGATTCCTCAGGAGAAGAAGTGGTGGAGACACGGGACCACAAGTCTCGCTGGTCAATGGGCATTGGAAAGAAAAGTAAGTGGGGAAAGGAATCAAGAAAGGTGACCCTGAGACGGGGGACCAAGCAACCAGAATGGAAGCAGGAGATGGAGAAATCCCTGCATGCAAGTGAAGAGGGAGAAAGCTGGGCACTGTACTCAGACTGGATCCTAGAGAAAGCTATTGACCTGATTTATTTATTTATTTATTTTATGAGACTTATATACTGCTTTAAGTGCAAGCACTCTCTAAGCAGTGTACACCAGTAAGCAATGTATATATATATATTTACATTGCCCCCAACAATCTGGGTCCTCATTTTACCTACCCCGGAAGGATGGAAGGCTGAGTCAACCTTGAGCCGGTGAGATTTGAACCGCTGACTGCTGAACACAGTCAGCTAAAGTGGCCTGCAGTACTGCAGTCTAACTGCTGCGCCACCTCGGCTCTTGATGAAGAGAACTCTCAGCTCCCTAGGAGAGAAGAATCCTGAGCCCGATGGCTGCCCCAGCTCCTGGAGCCGCAAAGGGAGAGACATCGAGGGGGACGTGGAACCTGCAACCCTGGGGACATCTGCTGATCCAGTAGTCCCCACCCCTACCAGACCACAGATGGCAATCTGAACGGAAGACACTACCACCAACAATGGAGGCACCGATCCATTCCAAGACATTCGCCGTTGGAGGTGAAATTCAAAGGGGAGCCAACACGCTTGGGGTTTTTCCTAACCCAAGTCCTCAGCTATATGGAGAAATACGGGCAGGACATCCCCAGCGACAAAGCCCGCATCCGGATCGTGCAGTCTGCCCTGGATGGACCGGCTGCAGATTGGGTGGTGAACTTCAACCGTTTCATCCTCTCTGAGAAGACGATTTGAAGACCCCCCTGGCTGATCGCAAAGCCCGTGAAAGGATAAAAACGATGAGGCAAGGCAAACGCCCGGTGGCTGAATATACACAAGAATTCCGGGCCATTGCCAGCAAACTGAATTGGCCAGAAGACATCCTCCTTAGCCATTTCAAAGACGGACTAAATTATGATCTATATGACGCTTGCCTGCCCCAAGGGGACCCACACCAACTTGAGGAATAGTACATCTTGGCAGAGGAAGCAGAGATCGGCATATTGAAAAGACACAGCCGAGGAAAACAATGGAGCCGCCCCCCGCCTGAGCTGACACACAAACCGGTGAAATCATAGGCTACAGCCAAGAAGCAAATGGGGTGTTTCAAGTGCGGAAGAGAAGGGCATCGAGCTG